AAAAAATATATATATAAATGGGGAATATCGCACTTCTAACAATCTCTGCGAGTATGTGGGCTAAATTTAAAGAATCCGTGCTTCTCGCTTGGACAACTGTATGTGGCCAACTCACGCGTCGGAAAACCTTTTGATTTATTCGTGTACGCACCAGACAGAAAAACAAAAAATATCGTGTATCCACAAGCACTCCAATAAATAAATAGAATTGAAACGACACTTTGAAATATTTTCCCAATTAAAATGAATAATAATAATAATATAATACTAAGTTTCAATAAAAATGATAAAATGTAAATTTAATTTTATCATAACGAAACTTGAATTTCGTTTCTTCTGAGATCGCAGCAATGCGCGACGGGTAAGCTAGTTAATAATATAAAAGTTACTTTTAATAAATCTCATAATAGATAGCGCCACATAACTTTAAAATTTGTGCTAATGCGTTTTAGTATTTTTTAAACTTAAATATATTTTTTTAAATAGAGACATTTCTCATAATTTAACTAAATTACTCTTAAACTTTTTTGAACGTGTTCTGTCTTTTCTTGTTTAGTCATATTGTAAATCCAATCTACTCGGGTGACGTAAAGATTGGATAAGACGTTGTAAAAAAATTTATGCATCCGGATATGTTGGGCCCCATCTTTCACCAACCAGTCGACTCTCATAAGGCCCTCTTAAGGTGGATGCACAAGGATGGCAAAATTAAAGTAACACTGAGCATCAACGACCGGTATTACCAATTGCCTCTTAATTGTGCCGCTCGTGTGCATCCCTTTTCGCGCCTACAAGGCGAAAAAAAAACACATTTTGTGGAGGAAAAGAAAATTTTGTACGACGTATCATACACAGATTGCACAAGTTCATTGAAGTAATACAACTTCCTATACAGTTCACTTTCGTTACATCAAAGCCAAATTTTATATAGAACGAATTTAAAAATCAAACTGAAAAGAATTTATGAAACTATCAAGCTATAAATACTCCATTAGTGTTTTGTTTAGCCCTTACAAAAATGTACTGTAGTCCACTTCAGTGTGGGTGACTTATAGATATTAATTGAGTTTGCTGCATGTGAAACTTTCACGTTATTGCAACGAATCTTTTTGTTTATCGAACAGAGAGCATGTTGCTATTTAGGGGCCCTGCCCCGTCAAAAGCTGTAATTATAAATTAAAACTATTTCTTAAAATGTCATCATTGTCGTTTGGAAGTGTTTGAACTTGGAAGGGCCCCCACTAAGATCAATAGAAGTGTCCTTTCGGGAAACTCTCGAATTTCCGATAGGCCAGTATATACCCGGTCTATACTTTTTTTTAATCACCAACTCCTATGCGACAGAAAGCGTTTCACTCGAGTTCTATTCTAGAGACACAAACTTCCACTTTAACTGCATAAATCCAGCCAGAACAGCAAAGAATAGATGTAGAGTGATGGCATCAATCCAAATTTTTCTTAAAAATTTTATATCTGAAAAAATTAGAGGCACAGTAACAACTATGTTGCAACCTACTACGTCAACTGTCCTTTGCACTAAGGCGCTAGATAACCCAGGTATGCTCATCCGCCATGTTGGTCCTTAGAAAGCAGACGACTCTCGTAGAAGTTCAATAGAAGAGACACGAAAATAATCATAAATTCAACTGATTTTGCAAGGTCGAAATGATAAACTTTGCCAAAATTTAGTGCACCTAGTTATAAAATACAGCTAAATTTAAAAATCTTGGAATATGACGTCAAAAGGACCAATATGGCTGCACACGTGACGGAAGCGTATGAGCATACCTGGGTAATCTAGCGCCTTACTTTGCACTATTTCAATGACGTGAGATGGTGCCACGAAATAGTTCTACATCGTAGGATGCGGCACAGTTGCTATTGTGCCCTTTTGATTTTTTTTGTTTTTAATTGAAATCTCCTTCTCAAACCTTTACATCTTTATGTACAGTACCTTTTCAATAAGCTAGTTTACTACTGAAGTCGACCCCTCTATAACACTGTTGATTATTCCGTTTTATATGAATTCCATGTTGTACGAGTCACTTAGGTTTTACAAATACGTGTGCCGGGCTGTGAACGGCTCACGTATTTGTAAAATCTGAGTGACTCGTACAACATGGAATTTATATAAAACGGAATAATCAACAGTGTTATAGGGGAGTCGACTGGTAATGCAAGTATTTTATCATAAAGAACACTTAGTACAGTACATATATTATTTTACCAAATTCAAAAATAAATTAGGTAAATATATTAAATTACTGTTTATATTTAAATATACTGTATAATCTGTATCCGCGTTATAATACTGTATAATTCTAATCACAAAAAAAAGGTAAACCTATTTTAATTCGGGATTTAACGTGCAAATTATATTTTATACAAAAGTATATATGAAATATTAATTTAATTTATTAAATAAAATCAACTTAAATGTAATGACAATTAAAAATTAAATTGTATTAAGGTCAATTACCTAAATTATACGTTTTTGGATCCGCCATGATGAATCACAGGATATACATTTATAAAAATGTATTTGTATATCCTCTTATGCCATCGTTAGCGGATCTAAAGGATGTAATTTAGGCAGTTACCCTTATGCTAAATTTATATTCTTGACGTACAAAAAATAATAATTTATCTGTGCATATGTAGCAAACAGTATTTATCAAGATTATTTAATATTTCACCATTTATCATACTAAAAATGCAATAAAATTCGGCAATAATTTTTAAATAAGAATTTTATATTAGTTGACTTTCTAAATATGTAAAATTAAATTATCGCAATGTATTATTATTATTACTAAACACAGCATATACGGTATTGCAACTTTATCATGTATATGATTAATAAATAAAATAAACAAGTCAAAATCTATCCGGATTGTTTACATTTTTTTAAAAAAATAGATGCTTTGTTGACTGTATAAATTTAAGATTAAATCAAACAATAAATCGTTTCAAATTCCCAGTGTTAAGATACAAACAGATAAACATTTACGGATTTTTTTTTTCCGTTTCGGAATTGTTTGCAACACATCGCCTGTGTTATTCACGCGACGGTAGCGCTATTAATATTTAAATTATTCAAAATCAATAAATGATTAAAATGTCTATGACACAATTTAAAAAAAAAGACGTCGTCGTTAATATTATTATTATTATTATTAACACGTAAAAAGTAAATATTAATACGTCAAACAATTATTAATTAATAAAACTGAGAGATAAGTATCGATGGCTGGAACGAAACTTCAACAGCCTCAACGAGTTCATTGCCATTTTCAGAGTACAAACAACGTCCGTTCGATGTCAAGTCTGTCGTCCTCTGACGCGGTTTAAAGTTTATTTCCCTTCGCGAAAAAAGAAAATAAATTATTAACTGTCTCTGATATTTTTAGTTATGTTTTTTTTTTTTCGTTTTGAATTTTGTTTATGCCAAGCGCATGACGTCTCTCCTTTAAAAGACAAATTAATGACGTCATTCTCGTGCAATTATATTTTTGACATATACAGTATATATATATATATTTATCTTTCGAGTTAAATATTAAATATATTTTGTAATTTCGTAATTTTATTTAATCATCCGACATTATTATAAAGATTAAAATTATACAAATTTCAGATGAATCATGGAGTTTCCAAACGACATTGAACAATTAAACTAACGACGTCACGTTAATAATACGATGACGCCAATGATAAAATTATTTCATTTTTTTTATCGTCATTAACTGATTAAAAATCATAAAATTTATCATTTTTAGTAAATTAAACTAAAAATTAAAGACAATTAAACATAAGTTTTTGTTTTAAAAATTGATTTTCGTTTCCCTTCTTAATATACTACGTAAGCTACTGCGTTTGTTTACCTTCTTCCATTCAAAATGGCGTCGTTAGCGACAGAAAATAAACAAGAGGTTAATAGGTCAAATTTTTATTTATTTAAATGAGAATATATTGGATTGTAAGCAACCCAGTTTATTGATTTATTTTAAGCAATGACGTATTAAACGATTTAAATTTTAAAATGTCACGCGCAGAATGACGATTCAAAAAATTGGGTTAGGTTTTGTTTTTATTTTTAAATAATTCCACAAATATCTAGATATGAAGACAAATTTTATTTTCTCTCATTCAGAGCGTGAAATGAGACCTCAATTGCAGAGAATTCCGTAATAAACATCAAAATTACATTTAATAAATCATCATCTGACGTCATAAAAGACGTGACGGAATAAACTTTCTGAATAAAAACCGTTACATGGAAATTAAAATTTGAAATTTTTTACTTAAATTTAACGTTAAAATTATAGGAATTTCATTATCTTGATAAATAATTTAGATAATAATTTTATGATAAGATAAATAGCGGCCATCTTTTCCTCCTCTTACAACAGACAAAAGAAAGAAATCACGTGAACTATTCACGCGCAGTTACTGACGTCACCGAGGGAATACAATCAGTCTTTTCTATTGGTCGAATTCCTTCGAATATCTTCTGCATCCGTTGCATCAGCCAATGGAAACGTTCTAGAAAAGCGTCATACGTGACTATAAATTAGCCTAGCGACGTGTTCTTCGTTATTCTGTTAGACAAGTTGGAAGCGAAGTATCGTCGAAAGTAAGTAAGCATTTTCTCGTTTTGTATTTTTTTCGTTTCGTTTCGTTTCGTTTCGTTTCGTTTCGTTTATTGTTTTTCGGTAGAAGTAAAGGCGTATTACTGAATAATTCGTATAATTTCCTGCAAGAAATAGAATATTCTAGTGTTTTAGTGACAGACATTCGTTTGTTTATTCTACGTCGTACCGACGCCATCTTGGAATTCTTTCAAAATTTTTCGTTGACGTCACGATTGCCTCTTTGATTTGTGAAATAAAATCATAATTTTATAATTTCTTTTTCAGGTTTATTCACTCATCATGCAGATCTTCGTTAAGACATTAACTGGGAAAACAATTACTCTTGAGGTGGAGCCTAGTGATACAATTGAAAATGTGAAAACTAAGATCCAGGATAAGGAAGGTATTCCGCCCGATCAGCAGCGTCTCATCTTTGCAGGCAAGCAGCTCGAGGATGGTCGTACCCTGTCTGACTACAACATTCAGAAGGAGTCTACTCTCCATCTCGTTCTCAGGCTCCGTGGTGGGATGCAGATTTTTGTGAAGACCCTGACGGGAAAGACCATCACGCTGGAGGTAGAGCCCAGTGACACCATAGAGAACGTGAAAGCCAAAATTCAGGATAAAGAAGGAATCCCTCCGGACCAACAGCGTTTGATTTTTGCCGGGAAACAGTTGGAAGACGGCCGCACCCTGTCGGACTATAATATCCAGAAGGAGTCTACTCTCCATCTCGTTCTCAGGCTCCGTGGTGGGATGCAGATTTTTGTGAAGACCCTGACGGGAAAGACCATCACGCTGGAGGTAGAGCCCAGTGACACGATAGAGAATGTGAAAGCCAAAATCCAAGATAAGGAAGGTATTCCACCTGATCAGCAGCGTCTCATCTTTGCGGGCAAGCAGCTTGAGGATGGCCGCACCCTGTCAGACTACAATATCCAGAAGGAGTCGACCCTCCATCTCGTTCTCAGACTCCGTGGTGGAATGCAGATATTTGTTAAAACCTTGACTGGCAAGACCATTACCTTGGAAGTTGAGCCAAGTGATACTATAGAGAATGTAAAAGCCAAGATTCAGGATAAAGAAGGAATCCCACCAGATCAACAGCGTCTGATCTTTGCTGGCAAGCAGCTGGAAGATGGCCGAACCCTGTCAGATTATAACATTCAGAAAGAATCGACACTTCATTTGGTTCTTAGGTTGCGTGGTGGAATGCAAATATTTGTCAAAACTCTGACTGGCAAAACTATTACTTTAGAAGTTGAACCCAGTGATACAATTGAAAATGTTAAGGCTAAAATTCAGGACAAAGAAGGCATTCCTCCCGACCAACAACGTTTAATCTTTGCGGGAAAACAACTGGAAGACGGGCGCACCCTATCGGATTACAACATCCAGAAAGAATCCACGCTTCACCTCGTTCTCAGATTGCGTGGTGGTATGCAAATATTTGTCAAAACGCTCACCGGAAAGACTATAACACTGGAAGTAGAGCCCAGCGACACAATAGAAAATGTAAAAGCTAAAATTCAGGACAAAGAAGGCATTCCGCCCGACCAACAGAGACTGATCTTTGCAGGGAAGCAGTTGGAAGACGGTCGTACTCTTTCCGACTACAATATTCAGAAAGAGTCGACCCTGCATTTAGTTCTCAGACTGAGAGGAGGAAATTAATTTCTTTTGCATTTTCTTTTTTTTCTAAATATTCCCCCCCAAAATAAAACTATTAAAATTCCTAAAATGTTCTGAACTGTGCAAGTTTGTTCTTAACACTTATTTTTGCTATTGTAATTGTATTGTAGCACAAAATTTTAAAATAAAACTTTTTTTAAAATTTAAAAAATGCAACTTTTTTTTTCCTCAACTCATAATTCCGAATACTAGGAAGATAAAGTTTTCCACTTTGAATATACTGCATTTTTCAATAGACTTCTCGGATTTTTATTTAGTGAAATTGGACATTAAGTCAAGTTTAGTTTCTAAGTTAAACAAAGTTTATATAATATATATAGTGATCCAGTAAACGAATATCCAAATTCAAAATATTTGTGGAGTTTTGAGAAATTGCAAACAAATGGATAAAGCTAATTTATTATTTTTTTCATAAAATTCAATTCTATTTTTTTTAATGTCCCTCCCATTTGAGGTTCCTAGTATATTGCTAATTATATATTATACTCCAACTTAGAAATACAATGCTTGATATTTGGTGCTTTTGTACTTAAATTTTCAAATTAAGTTTTTTTTTTAATAGCTTGCAATGTGCAAGTTTTAATTTTTAGATCCTACTGTATACGAAGTGTAATAGTTTGCCAAACTTTGTTACTTAGTGCAATCTTTTTCACAAAAACTACATGAAAAGGTAGGAAATGTAGGGTTTACAGAGCTTCCAATTTTAAGATGAATGATCCGTAGTATCGGAATTGCATGGTATTTGCATGAAAAAGCGGTAATGTTAAATTAAGTTTTAGGAAAAATTCATTTTGTAAAGGTGCTACATTTTTTTAAAATAGCAATATGTAGAACCTATTGAATGTGAAATCAGAAAATTTGAGTTTGATCATTTTTCTTAAAGTGAAATTGTGTAGAAATTTTAAGAAGTCAATAATAGTGGAATTATTGTGATTGCAGACAATATTGTCAACATTTATGCTAAATCAAATATATATCTAGATTACCATTACCACTTAATGAGTGTGTTATTTCAAAACACCTTGTCTTTGAAGAACTGCAGAGGTTAATTTCAAAGTAACAATACAAAAAATATACAACCAAATGCAAAGCCACTTGTTACAAATTGCAAAATAATGTAAAAATAGTTATCCAGATTAGAAAAAGATTACTTAAATCTGTTTAATTGTATTATTCATAAATATAGGATTGGAAACATTGTCAAGTTACGTCTTGAATTGCCTTGTAATCAAGCCGTAGAGAAATCGCCAGCTTCCTCTGCGTCCGGAGAAAACTTACAGGAGTCGAAACTTCTACAGGCTTCTAATGTTGTTTTTACTAATGAAAAAGAAAATATTTAAGACTGTAATTAATTAAATATTCTAATATTTTGTTCGAAAAAGCTGGCAGAACAAGTTTGCTCAAGCTCTCAACAGCCCTGCTCGTAATGACTACTGTACATAGTTTAATAATGTGTCATTTTATAGGCTAATTTAAAGAGTTTTGTATTCTAAACTTGCATTTTTTTTAAATGGATACAATATGAACTTGCAAAGCAAATATGGTAAGTTTCTTTTTATTCTTTCATAATCCTAAAAATTATTTTTTGTATAACTTTTTGTTATAAGTATTATAATCTGTAACCATAAATGATGATTGTAGATATACTTTTTAAAAAATTGCATAGAGCAATTGTTTTATATCTTGCAAACGGGGCTGTCAAGAGCTGATGGGGCGTGGGTGCTGAGCAGTCCTTTTTGTTTCTTCACGGGTCCCTTTATGTAGCTTTTTTTCTTTTTTTAGCAAGTGAAATGTACAGAATGTTTTTTTTTTTATTAATAAGGAAAGAGTCTTGAAGATTTTATTTTCTATTAGTAAAAATATTAATTTTACATGGGTAGGAATTATTACAGGTCGTAAATTTTCTTTGAATCTGGAGGAGAATTTCTAAGCTTTCCCTCTTGACAGCCTTACTGTAGAAGCTTCAATAATTTGCTTAAATGGTAAATTTAATTATAACTTATTGTAGTTACAAACTGAATTTTTTAAAATAAATTTCTAAGAGTTTGACAGAATGGCTAGAACAGTAGTTAGTTAATGCTATTTGATACTACTATCCTATTTTTTTAATATGGCATTATATCACACATTCGTAATAAATGGAAATTTTTTTTTATGAATAAGCAGTTACCCAAATAATGATTCAATCACAAGTGTTGTTTCTGATCTCTCTAATACACAATAAATCACAGGGTGTCTGGCTGACTGGAAAATTTGTATTTTCTGAAATGAATTGTTATAAATCGCACTTTCATTTAAACATTTTGCAGGTGAATTTTCCTTAATTGCTCAACAGTAATGAAGGCTATTGTAGACTTTGCAACTCAAGGATATTCTGATTATGATAGCGAATAAGTTAACTTTTTCTCTGCAAAAAAAGTATTATTTGCAAATTTTATCAAATAGAATTTGCATACTTCCTCTATGCATGCATAAAAGATTTTGTTAGATTTTTTCTGAAAGTTGCTTATAGAATGATGATTTATATCTTCACTTTATGAACGCAAGAATTTTCTTTGACAGAATTGAACATATATACAAATACAAAATATTATCTGCCATTCATTTATGTATCCTTTGAACCCATTATCTTCAAAGAAAATTGAGGATTTTGCAGATTTTAGTTTGTGATTTCACATACAGTAGACCCTTCTATAACACTGTTGATAATTCTGTATTATAGGGATCAAATCTGGACGGGTCAAGGAATCCCCAGGAATTTTTCAGGGGTGGTCTGTTCGGATATGTTGGGCCATGTCCCTCACCACCTGATCGCCCCATTGTGGGCCTGCTATAAGCGACCCTTTTAGTGCCCACAGGGTGGAAAGAGTATGGGGGAAAAATTCCGTATTATATGAATTCCATGTTGTACGAGTCACTTAGATTTTACAAATATGTGAGCCATTCACAGCCCGGCACATGCATTTGTAAAATCTAAGTGACTCGTACAACATGGAATTCATATGATATGGAATTATCAACAGTGTTATAGGGGTCTACTGTAATTCATGATGCCTTTAAAACAGGTCACAAAGAAGCAAACTGGGAAGTAAAAAAAGTTTCTCTGTAGGATTTATAATTTAACAATAGTCTTGTAACATGAATGGATGTTTGTCAAACTATAGGTCAGTGATTCATTGTTATAATAAACAAACAAACATACATATTTTTTATTACATTATGTATATATACATAACCTGATGTTATGTGCATAATTTTGTTTTTCACTTAAAATGAAATTTTCTTTAAATCAAAAATGCATCTATAATTGTGTAGGTTATTGTGCGGGGCATTAGGCAAGTTTCTAAAGTCAATTATTGTGCCACTTTTAAGTGCAAATTAAGACAACGCTAATTTTCATTTACATAAGAAAAGGAATTATTAATTTAAATGTAACTATTGTTGTAACCTGCTACTATTTTAAGGAACAAGGTGCTGTTTTATTTAATTAACCTAATTCTTTTTGTCTATTTTTTTGTGAAGTGGCAAGTATAGAATGTTTACTCAACTTTAAATCACGTGATTTTTTTTCCATGGAAATTTAATTATAGGTTCCTTGTTAATTAATT